TGCGAAGACCTTGTCGACTTCTGCGACGCACTTCAGCCGATTTGCATCGGAAGCGTTATTCAGTACCAGTTACAGGAGCTTCAAGCCATGGCCGATCAGATATCAAACAGGTTCGACTGTACTCAATCACATTCGTAAACTATTGACATAACCTTTTAGCACTTCCCTCCCGGCGCTAGAAAGTTCACTACCACTTATGAGATCTGAAAATCCAAATGGTTTACCACTAGTTGGTTCGAATGCAAGCAGTTCTGAACTGAAAGAACTCGAACAAGAAATTATTGTAGGCAACTATTTACAGTAAACTTTATAATAGAGTCAGGAATATATTCTTACAGGACTCGCTTCCATTTCTGAAAGAATCTTTGCCGCTGATTCGTGAATCACTGCCACTGATTCGCGAATCTTTGCCTCTCATTCGTCAACTGATTGATCCTACCTACTACAATGGTGATAAGACAACATGCCAACAAAGAGCTACTTGCAAAAGTTAGTTGTGGTATACTTCAGACTACAGTACAACTACCGTACCACATTCTCACCGCCAGTGCTTGTGTAAACCTGACTACCTGGGCTGTTTCTGTGCAACTGGATTGGGGGAAGTCCTAACTAAGCTACTGCCCAAACGGTAGCTTCTATGAGTTTGCCGTATGCGGCACTTTCGCCCGGTACCGTACAGTCTCCACGGGCCAATCAGAGTCGTCGGGTGTACGGTAGTGGGCGAGAGTTTAGAGTTGAATCTCTTGGTAGCAAATAAATCTCATGAGCTCTTGAACAGTTGCTCATCGAGACTTCTTCAAAAGAAAGTATAGTATTTGTATTAATAGGTTTTGCTTCCTCTTTTGGTTCGAAAATGCGTCCTGACATTGGTGCAGTTTTACGTTTCTTAAACAATTTCTAGTAACCCTTTATTTGTTCACTAAAAACAGTTTCTGTAACATAAGCCAGGTAAACACATTCTGACGTGAATAATCGACTGAATTGGTGCATTTGCAAATGTCCAACTTGTAATTATTCACAACAGAGTACTCAATTCTTAAACAGCGTAAAGAATATACTTTTGTAGGCTGTCGTGAGTGTCCAAAACTACGTGAAGCTATAGCCGCTGTTGTGGAAACGATTTGTCCGAATACATGTCGTGTCTGCGCTTCAGGTAAATTTTGTAGGCCCCTTCTACATCCTGGATTTTTTACTGTTTTCAGCCAAGACAGGAAGAACAGCAGCTGCTGCTTTAGTGGATTACTACATATGATTGAGTTCGAGTTTAGTGCTTGTTGCTTCGAATAAAATGTTGCTTGAAATTTAAATGTGTTTCGAAATAAGTTCCCGATCAAGAGTATGTACTTAGTATCAGTTAAATCAAATGAGGGCATCTGAATCAACACAGGGCACAATTTGGTCACTCCACAGAGTCAGCTCGTCTCGTCACTCGTTCATATCGCTGATCAACTTTTTGTAGAGTTTGAGCGAAACTAAGTTTGAGGCGATCAAGATGACTGCTCAAACTGCTTTACAGAAATGACTATATGAAAATTCGAAATAAATCAACACCATATCAGCAAAAAGTCTGGAAACGCGCTACTAGCTTCACACCAAAAAATCTGAATAATGCTGAAATTTTATTTGCAGAAAAGTAAAGTCGTCACACTCATTTCCATGGCATGATGTCTGTACATAAAGTGAGATTTCACTTGCAAATTAAGCCAGAATCAAGCCTCAAAAGTGGAGATTGTGAAATGCAAATGCGATCTGAGCATATCACCATAAGAAGTGTAGAATTAATGCGCATTTCAGTACTGATATCCAGTCTTTTATCAGTACTTATTGCGCAAAGTGGAAGTGCTGTTTCATCTCAAGAATCAATGCTTATTACCTGGTAGTACCTTTTTCGAGAAACATTTTGTAAATTTCCGCGAATGATCACAGCGACATTCCTTCTGCATATAAAATCAGCTGCTGAAACGGAAAGTTTTTTGGCGACTAATTTTATGGTAATTTTCGGCTATTTGAATCCAATTTTGCAAACGGCTCTTATGAAATGTTTTTGCACTAAAAAATTTTTTT